GTACATGCTGTATGACACTGCAAGGGCATGGAAATTATTGTGAGTTGTGAGTAGCAGCAGAGAAACAGACATATATATATATGCATTCAGCTTAAACCTAGGGGGGGGGGGGGGGGGGGGGGGAGAATTAAAAAACATATTTACAGCTTCTTCTATACAATCTGTATGGAGTCTTATGGAGTTTACCCTTCACAGAAGCTGCATAAATTAACCCCTGTTCTCCTGACCGGGACGGGCAGGTCACTGACTCAGGCAGGAATTCCCTGCGGGAATTTTGGCTGAGCCTCCTCGTGTCTCATCCTCCGCGCGTCCGTCCTGGAGCGTCGCTCGGTCGGTCGGTGCCTCCCTTATGTAGTACCAGCTACAGATTTTGGAACTCTTCTGCACCTGAGCAGTTCAGTCAAGTCCCCAGCGGGCAGGGCAGGCTCCCTGGGGCTACATGTGCCTCTTCATGTGCAGAGCCAGGTGGTCTGACCTGGAGAAGGCTCTGTCGCACAGGTGGCACTGGAAGGGCCGGTGGCCCGTGTGCTTGCGGTAGTGGCGGGTGAGCTCGTCGGAGCGTGCGAACTTCCAGCCGCAGCCTTCCCAGTTGCAGTGGTAGGGCTTTTCACCTGGTTGGGAAAACGGGAGAGCGTGACTCAGCGTGGCACCACGCGCCAGGCAACCTGCCCAGTTTGGTTGTAGCATATCCCTTGATTCGCTACCGAGACCTTCCACAGCAAGGTCCAAGTGCTTTTAAGCTAAATTACTAGAAATTCATTTACCATTAAGCCCTTTCTCCAAACCTTTTTCCAAAGCCCCTTCTCCAAAGCCCTTTCTCAAACCCTTTTTCCAAAGCCCCTTCTCCAAAGCCCCTTCTCAAACCCTTTTCCCAAAGCCCCTTCCCCAAAGCGCCTTCTCCAAAGCCCCTTCTCAAACCCTTTCTCCAAAGATTTTCACCTATACCCGCAGTGCAAATCTTTCGAGAAAAGGCTTTAGAATCCCTTAGCAAAGCTTTGACTGCACAGGTGAACACCTAGATGTCACGGCCCTGACCACCAGCTGTGAATTTAACAGATTACAGGGTAAAAAAAGCCCAGGCTACAAACTCTTTCACACGGGGCTATCCCAACCAGCACGGAGCACATCTCCACGTGAAAACCATCAGCAATATTTACCTGTGTGTGTCCTGAGGTGCGCCTTCAGGTGGGAGCTCTTGGTGTAGGTCTTCCCACAGCCCGCGTAGCTGCACGTGTGAGTGGCCGTCCTCTTCCTCGGCCACGACCGGCGTCCCCGCTTTGGTTTGGAGTCCAGCAGCTCCAGAGGGGATGAAGGAGGGGTGAGCATCCCCCTGGGAGCCGAGGGCTGTAAGGGCAGGCTGTCCTCGAAAAGGCCAAACTGGGAGGTGTTCTGGTACTGGAGGTGGGTCTGCGGGTGGTGGAAGCCGGAGGCCGGGTGGTAACTCTGCTGGTAGGGCACAGACGAGGGGCACATCATCTGCGTGTGGCACTCGGTCACCATGAGATCGTCGGGGCTCAGCGGGGGCGTCTCTGCCCCGGGGATCTGCGGGGAGCTGGCCACCCGGGGCTGCTCGTAGGCCATCATGCAGGTCGCGTTCCCCTCCTGCTTGATCTTCGGGCAAGCCTGGGGCACCAGACCCAGGACCGGTCCATAATTGTCCATGTCGGGCTCGGGCTTAATGTTCTCAACGAACTGCGGGCCCCCGAAGGTGGGCGTCACAAAGAAGCGGCCGTGGACGCTGCCAGGAGGGCAGTAGTTGGAGTCCATCTCGGAACGCATCATCTCCGGCACGATGCCGGCGTTGTAGGGCGGGGGGCTGCCCTGCTCCAGGGCATTGTAGCATCCCGGGGACGGGTTTGTCTGGTAAAAGCCACCGCTGTCTCCTTGGGCGGGGGGATAATCCCCGCCGGCAGCGCCCTGGCCGTAGCCGTCGCTGCCCATGGAAAGGATAAAATCCAGCACGTTGTTGAGATCCTCATCCTCTTTGCGCGGGGAGAGGCCGCCCCAGGTGCCGGCGGGGGTCTTGGCCTCCTGCTCGCACTTCCACCTCTGGGGAGAGAGAAAAGGGAGAGGGTTAGAGGCGCCGTTCGCCCGGGGGAGCGAGGCAGGGGGGCCGGGGCTCGGCCGGCGCTGCGCGGAGCCGGCGCTGCCGGGCACTCACTTCGTGCGCGGCTTTCTCGCGGCAGGGGCTGGCGAAGGTGGCGAAGGAGGGCAGGGCGGTGTCGCTCAGCGCCATGGTGCGGGACGAGCGCGGCCGGCCGCCCTCCGCACCTTATAACGCGGGCGCGGGCGGCCTCAGGCCAATTGCAGGAGCGGAGGAAACGCGTCCGTCCCGGACGGGGCGGGAGGGAGGCAGCGGCTCGGGCGCAGCCTAAATTTAGCCCCGGTATAAAAGGACACGGCAGCGGCGGTCCCAGCCCGAGCGGGGCGGAGCGGAGCTGGGACGGGCCCCCTTGGCCGCCCTCCCCTCGGCGCGGGGATCGGGGCCGGCCCGGAGCCGCGACCCCCGGCTGGGGCAGTGGCCGGAGAGCCGCGACCCCCGGTTCTGTCAGTGGCCGGAGAGCCGCGACCCCCGGTTCGGGCAGTGGCCGGAGAGCCGCGACCCCCGGTTCGGGCAGTGGCCGGAGAGCCGCGACCCCCGGTTCGGGCAGTGGCTCGGGAGCCGCGACCCCCGGTTCTGTCAGTGGCCGGAGAGCCGCGACCCCCGGTTCGGGCAGTGGCCGGAGAGCCGCGACCCCCGGTTCTGTCAATGGCCCGGGAGTTGCGATCCCCTGCTCGGCCACTGGCTCAGAAGCCGCGACCCCCGGTCGGGGCAGTGTCCGGAGAGAAGCGGCCCCCGGTTCTGGCAGTGGCTCGGGAGCCGCAATCCCCTGTTCTGGCAGTGGCCGGAAAGCCGCGACCCCCAGTTCTGTCAGTAGTCCGGGAGCCGCGACCCCCGGCCCGGTTGGGGCAGCGAGGGGACACTGAGGGGTCTCTGCCTCGGCGAGCTGGGGGAACGCCGAGGGATCTCCGAGTCCCTGCTGCAGGGAAACTGAGGCAGCCTGTGCTGTGCTGAGAGGCGCCGTGTGGGGTGAGGGGCTGCAGGGGACCCTGCCCTGGAAACACCTCCAGGACCCGTCCTGGGTGACACGAGGGGACCCTGAGCTGTGGGGGTGGGGGGCAGCAAGGGCTCCCTGACCTGGAAACACCGAGGGACCACCTGTGGCACGAGGGGATGCTGACAGCTAAAGCTTCTCCAGGGACTGTGCTGTGGATGGGGAGCACTGAGGGCTCCTTGCCCTGGGGACACTGAGAAAAACACCATGAATTAGGGGTTTGATCCCACCCAACACCTCAGAGCAGCTGCCCCACAACCCAGCCTCATCCCTGGTGCAATCAGACTCGGAAAAAGAGTGGAAGGTGCCAGGAGCACAGTGGGGGAGAGAGCCATGCCCTGCTCCCGTGGGTAAACTGCTGAGCTGGTGATGGGGTCTCTTGGCACTGGTCACCCTAAAGGTCCCAGATGCATCTTGGTGCTGGCAGAAAGGTGTTTGATGCCACTCTTGTATGGTCTTCACTGGAGTTTTGCATTTAATGGAAGTCCAGATCTGTAGCAGAATTTCCATTTGCTGCACAAAGATTGCCAAAATCAATGTTGCAATGTGACATTATGAGAGAAAAAATGCACGTAGCTTCTGTGATCTCCTCTGGTTGCAGGCAATTTATGGTCTTGGTTTTTCAGAAGGGAAGATTGTTCTTCTCCCTTACCTTGGCCTCTAGCTCAGATGCTGACTCTGAAGGAGCAATTCTCCAATAACTTCTGATAACGTGCTCCAGACTCCTGTTTCTGAGGATCATGGCTGCTTGGCCATCATCCAGGAGCAAAAGTGACAGATCTGAAAAGGGGAAAAACTACGATCTGTCAAGGGACAGACTGATTCTTTGAGATCCTGTTCAAAGAAAGAGCTATGCTTTCTCCTTTCCTCCTCCATATTTCCTTTGCAATCCCTTTTAGAGGGGTTTCTGAGTGAGCTGGAAATCAGGAGGGTGCAGGAGAACATTTCTCACATTTAGGGGAAGGAATCCTTGATGGGCTCTGGTTCTCCCAAGCACTTTGAGCCTGTTCAGCAGAGCCCATCCCAGGCTTGTGGCTGTGTTTAACCACCTCGGGAAAACTCAGTTGCTAGGGTGAGTAAATGATCGTTTCAATAGCTACACGTGTTTTAAAATCAGGAATACCTCTTGTTTAACTTTCTATAGTTTTCATTCTAAAAGTTCACAGGTTGGCCAGAAGGAGCAGCCAAACTTCTGTGACTGGAGCAGAATCAATGCTCTGAATGCATGGTAACGCTGTACACAAAGATGTGTGACTCATGGCTCTGTAATGTCACACTTGTGTAATCTTTCAATGTAAACTCTTTTCCTCTAATAAAACGTCCTTAAGTGAATGATACGTATATATGGGGCTGTGAGTCAGCCAAGAAAATACACTCTGATGAATTCAGAATGAATGTGAATACTCCCTTGATAACACACCCTGAATGTCTGTGTCAGTTTATGTGCTTGTGATTTCAGCAACAGCTATAACAAAATATTTTGTTTCTAGGATATACAACTGGACGTGTAGGTTTCGCTGAGGAGCTCCAATCGGGTGCTGCCTTCCAGCAGACACTGGAAGGATTTTGTTTGTGGCTCCATCACCAAACTCTGCATTTTCTTCGTGCTAAGGAATAATTTAGTGGGCAGAGAGGATGAAAGCCAAGCACACAAAATTATAAATACACTGCCTTTAGTTGCTTTTTGTTTTTAAGAAAAGCAGCGAGGCTAAAAATTGAGATCTGCACTAAACGTGGGGAGACAAATGTGAGAATTTATTTACCTTGTGAGTCACTGGTTCTGCGCAAATTGAGAACAACTTTGTCATGACCTTCCACTCGGTCTGTGACAGTTGTGCTGACATTTTCTGGCTTTTTGCTGCTCACAACTCTTATTTTAAATACCTAAACGCAAGATCCTGGCAGTGATCTCACTTAGCATAGATCAGGAGTGATGCCACTGATGTATAAATGTGAAGAATGTGAGATTAGAAAGTATTTGTTAATCTTCTGTAGGAGAGCTAAATGATGTGTGATTTGTCTCCCAGCCAAAGTAAACACGGACTCAGCCATTTTTTATATGGCAAAGTTCATTTTCCTAGGTGTTGCTGCTGCTGCCTCCTGTTGCTTTTAGATCAAGGAGAAACTTTTAAAGGAATTGCAATCAAGATTTTGCACGTTCATAGAAGAACCCAAGCTCGGGCTGTGCCCACTGAAGCTCGGTGCTGGATGGGTTGGTGCAATACCAACGTCACCTGGCTGCCCCAGCTCTGAGTCATTACAGAACTCAAACAAAAAGCTCCTTTCTCAGGGATTGTTCTCAGAAAGTCCTGATTGCACGCAGAGCAAACTAGTAATAACAGTAATACCGGGATAAACGACCCGAAAATGACACCTCGTAGCACCAAGAGTACACAGCACAGGTAACACCGTGAGCAACCCCTCACACTGAAATGACACCGAGGATTTCCCTGCCTGCGCCTCAAATTGTCACAGTTCTGTTGACTATACTGCTTTTTTCTTTTTTCTATTTTAAACTGCAGGGTCTGAGTAGGCACATTTTAGAATCTGCTGCCAAGGAAGTTGATAAAATGATGTAAACAACCACATAAAATGAAATATACAGGTATGTGTCAGAGACAGGCATCTTAATTTGGGGAGAGTGATTTAATCCTGTAGGTCTTTTGTCTGAATAATGTTACATCAGGAATGAATTGCAGAAAGGAGCCTTTTTGACCAGACTTCTCATGAGTGGAGCTGATTCCCATGCAGGGACTGAGAGATGAAGGTGAGCCATCTCTTTGATGAGCTTAAGTGGCTCATTAAGCTTTTAGTAAAACCTATTTTCTTTTTTTTTTTTTTTTTTTTTTTTTTTTTTTTTTTTTTTTTTTTTTTTTTTTTTTTTTTTTTTTTTTCCTCTTAATGATTCTCCTCTGAGCTATTTCCATAGCCTTTCTTGAGGTTTGAGCACTGGAAAAGTGGAGTAGCAGACAAAATATGAGTCACTTCTCTTTAAGGATTTGACTTGTGCTCTTTGTCATGGGCTTCTGCTAGGTAGCTGCTTGGCAAAGATGGCAAAGGTCTCCTGTCCCCCAGCTCTGTGAGAGAACCAGGACACAAGGAATGGCTTCCCACTGGGATTTTGGGCAGGAATTATTCCCTGAGGCCAGGCATGGATGGGATTTTGGGCAGGAATTGTTCCCTGAGGGCAGGGATGGATGGGATTTTGGGCAGGAATTGTTCCCTGAGGGCAGGCTTGGATGGGATTTTGGTCAGGAATTGTTCCCTGGGAGGGTGAGGAGACCCTGGAATGGATTTCCCAGAGCAGCTGGGGCTGCCCCTGGATCCCTGGCAGTGTCCCAGGCCAGGCTGGACAGGGCTGGGAGCTCCTGGGACAGTGGGAGGTGTCCCTGCCATGGCAGGGGTGGCACCGGGTGGGATTTAATTTCTCCAAATCCAAACCATGCTGGGATTCCATGATGCTCTCTCAGCTCCCCAGTCCAGGCCAGCAGCACCCTCTGCACTCAGAGTTGGCTGCCAGGCTTCTCGGGAAGGTGGAATTTGTGAGAGTGTTGAGAGCAGAGCTCCTGGGCTATGGGGAAGCCTGAAGGTGGAGCAAAGCCCTGGAGACCTGCTGGGAATGCTGGTGGCAGGGCTGGGAAGCATCAGGAGACAACTGGAACCAGTGGGAGAAAGCCAACTGGTCTGGGGTTGCACAGGAGGGTAGAGGCTGTGAAAGACTCCATCAAAGAAGATGTCTGAGAGCAGAGCCATTTTGGTGTCCCAGTTTTTCTGAATAATTCCCTGCTGGCCTATGTAGGAACCTGGTTTTGGCCATGCCAAAAAAGCAGTTTGCATGTTCCATTCCTAGAACTGTGACCTCCAGCTTCTCTGTATTGCCACGAGTGGGGTTTGTGTCTTCCTGGATAGTTAAAATAATCTTTTAACAATGACATGTTCTTCAAATTATGTCGCACTTCTGTGATCCTTGTCATCTAGGGCTTTATCAGAAACAATTTCTGTTTTCTTCCAGGTTATTGTTAACAACATTGAATGGTAAGTAACGATAAAAAAGATCAAGAACCAATAAACCTGCCTGATTAAAATCTAAATTCCATTTCCAGCTGTACTGGCCTGTGGCTGGAGCAGTCTGCATGTGCACCCCATGTTAATTTGT